ATGAGGCTTTTGTGTTTTTGGTGATGCATATTGATCAGTTACGAGCTCTAAGTATGCCTGATTTAATGCTATCAGATACCATTAGGGCAAATGATATGAGTAGGAACGGTCAATCCTACAGATAGACTTCTACAAGACTTCATCGATCGTTATCAGCGATTCATCGTAGCATCCAACGGTACAGATTGACGAATTCTCTAGTGAGGAGGAGAAGACAAGGCAGGAAAAGGTGTGAATGCTGAATCTGACTGCTGATATACTGATCAGCAGTCAGCTTCAGCATTCACACCAAGGAGATTTTAAAAGAACATGTTATGGCATTTACCCAGTGTATTGGCAACGACTTCATTTTTATGCAGGATAATGGGCTCGGGCTCACAGTGCTCACTCAGTACAGGTATACCTAAACCTTGTTGGTGTAACGGTGATGGAGTGACAAGCACGATCCCGGTTACGAAACGCATTACTTGAAGAATGGAAGAATGGCTGCTCAAGAAATCATTGACAACATCATCTACAGCATGCCCAGTCGAATGGGAACCATAATCAGAGCACGGGGTGACACAATTGATAGGAAACAATCTTCTAATTGATTGTAAACCGTCATAAATTCCCACTGTTTTTTGTGATCCGCTAATTCTGCCGGCGTTTATATATATGTTTATATATTATATATATGTATAATATATATATAGAAAATATAATAGAAAAGACAACTCCCGCAATATAATAGGAATAAATCCTGTATCGTGGGGGACTTTACAAACATACACGAAAAGGGCCCAAAAGACACCCATACTCAAAACAACAATTTGTGGATCACATAAAGTGTTGCCCCATGTGGGGGTCGAACCCATAACACTTAGCGCAGTAGGAAGCGGCGAGGTGACCTCTTAAACCACTACGCCACCCGTGCAGTATATTTGACTAAGACTCGAACAAAGTCAGGTTAGATCAGTTTAGTAGAAAATAAAATAGTAGACAGTAAAGTAAAATTACTACAGACAGAATAGGAACAAAGCTTACCTAATTTTGTAACACAAACAAGCAAAAATTCGAGTATATGAGCAATGTTTTTTCTTAATTAGCCACAGTACGTAGATTAATTTTGAAAGCGAGCTTAATGCGTACAAGTTCGCTAGTCTAATTTACTCGGCTTTAAAGCAAAGACGTGTTTCCGTATAGGGAGTGAAGATTCCCGGGGAGTTATTTAACTAATTTTACATGCGGAGCAAGTTTTAACCCCACTACCATATATTTGCGTTGCCGCTGTCGTGGGTACATCTTGTGAAGCAAGCTCCAACATCCCGACTTGGCAAGACAAACTGGTACGTACGCCCTTCGGAATTAGCTCGACAAATTCAAACATCGAACTCGTGCACTTCCTCAGCTGACAAATAGCGAAGATAGCTGTTGTCAGAAATTTGAACTGGAGTATAGTTTTGATTAACCGACACAGTTTCTAAAGAACTGTAACTAAGATTCCATTGTGGAAATACGTTTAAATCTATTTTAACCAAATTTTGAAAGTAATACATAGGAAAATGTTGAGAATGAAAACTAATTTCTTCAAGGGCCGATATGGGTCCTAAACCCTTTCATTACTTTTTAAACTTAGTCATATTTTATTTGTTCGGTACGTGACCGTCCTGTACGGATTCTAGATTTTCTCTTAATTTTTATATTTTAACAGTTATTTGCGAACTATCTCTAACTTAGCAATGGTATCACACTATATATTATTTTCAGAATGTTGTCATATACTCATATAATACGTTATTTGAGCACTTAAGCAAAAAATAATAAAGTCAAAGGATTTATGGCTCAACGAATTTCTTACAAAAAGTATACAGAGAATGTCATAAATAATCCTAGAGTAATAAAATCCGAAATAAGAGAGAACTCCGCAAAGAATAGTCGCAACAAGGAGCGTATTATTCTGTGTCACCGTCGGGACGTGTCTTGTAATATATGTTTTAATAAAAGGGTTTCAATTCTCACCCGAACATACATCACACGGAGATACCCAAAGTATCAATAATATCGAAAAAGATCTTCAATTTATTATTCATTGAAGTCGCTGGGCGGGGTGGGCTGCTCTATAAATCTAGGGATCGCCACTAAATCATCGTTTGCAAGCAGCGTGGCGGCGGAAGGACGTATGCGGGCGTAATTTTTATCCATTTTTCATCGATGAAAACAAATGGATAAAATGGTAATTCTTATATAATTACTACTATTATTGCAAATAACACAAAGTAAAACTTAATAGCAATCAACATTTACCGTGGTTGAATATTATTGTTATATGCAAAACACTACAAGTCTTAAGCAAAAAGAGACAGGTAAAAGTAGGTTGCTATATCTACCCATAAAAAAAGATCGTAAAAACTGTAATGGTACCCTCGTCACGTCTGGACATCTTATTTATCTAGTCACGAGCAAAATCATTGTTTCCTTTTTCGTTGTCTGTCGGGCAAAAACACACCTTATTACCGCCACGGGCTAACAGATGAAGTGCTGAATGGGACCATTGTCCCCGGGTCTTGTGTGTGACGTTTGTTCCTTGCAGACACGAAGAAAAAATTATAGTTCTCCGTCAAGGAACCACTATTTATTCATGTGCTCTCTTTATTTATTTTATTACTACCTATGAAAATTAATAACTACGACGCAGCTTTGAAGATCTGTAATGCGAATGTGGACGAAAGATTTCACATTACTATATTAACGATTCAAAAATTTGACGGCATTGAAGTTACTTAATAATCGAATTATCGTTTCTTCAAAAGAGTATGAATGTTGAACAATAAAATTATACTAGGAGAGTCAAAGGCGTTTTATTTATTTTTTATAAATTACTTTAATTAATTATCTTTCCACCAAATATTAATAACTCAAAGTCAACCGGAGTCTAAATAATATCCTTTCGTGTTCCCTTCCTTTAGTGTCACTTCCTTGGGCTAAACTTTGTTCTAATCCATCATAAATCTTACTAATATGTTCGACTGAAAAAGATTTTATTTAATCACCTGCACATGTGGAGGCTATTAAAACAGAAGTAACAACTAACGCGATTGCATATGACGTAGCAAAGTAAAAATGGAGTAAGCCGAATTCATTATCTGAAACAAAAATGCAAAACAAATAACCTGTATATACAACAAAGTGTTTTGTTTCTTTACGTATACATAAACAAACCATTTTATAGATTGAATTAAAACGATATACAAAGTGGATCAAAATATTATGGACAAACTTTATTAAATAATGTATTTATTTATTTTTTATTTATTTTACTTAATGCACAAGTTGTACACAGGCAGACTTAATGCCCAAGGCATTCTCTGCCAGTCGACCTTCGGGTCAAGAGAAAACAGAGAATTTTACTTGTTTATAATAAACTTATTAATTTGAGATAAATCTAACCTACATATGTACACTATATACTATAAATAAAATACTATATTCATAGCTACACATATACATAGAGGTCTCAAGTATACATATACAATAGATGAACATACACATTTATAAATACATAAGTATCAAAATACATAGTCGGGTACTAGCGTTGTGATCTTTCTTGATTCTTGTGAATTTAGTAAAACATAAAGATAAGTAAAATATAATAATTATGTAACGTAATTCCTATGAGATTGTTCTATTCCTATCGTTTTATTTTGTCCTGTTGCTACACCACTGAACATTTTTCGTTTATATTTTGAAAATCGTTGGAGAAAAATGTACACTATTTGATAAGGAAAATTTGTGATTAAGTTCGATCTACTTTGTATGTAATCGCTGAAAAATGCAGAAAGTTTAACGAAACAGAAAAACAAGTATAATACATCGCCTGAATCATTTTAAATCCATTAAAATAACTAATTATTAAAATACTCACTGCAGTAAAAGTTCTCAGAGAGAGCAGAAACATTTTTCCACCAGTAATTGTAAGAGGTTTCTTAGTTCTTTCGACAAATAATCGCATATTGCTTTTGAACTTGCGGCACCTTCCTGTCCAGTTGCATGCATACACCGAAAAAGATATCTGAGTACTCTAGAAAGACAAAATCTGTTATAATACAGGGTTTTTGTAGTTCACAAGCCTAACTTGTGTAATAGTAGTGTAACTTCTAAAGTCATCAAATTAAAGTGCCTTTTTGGTACCTCACATTAATGAGAGACGGTTTTGGGGCATCATTAGGGATATTTTCGTATGAGTGATTAAATTGATTATAATATTGACCTATTTGTGGGATGTTAAAAAACTTATTTATTTCCTTAGTTTTCTCAAAATTTCATAGCTTTACAGAAGTTAAAAAAAGACTAAACGGACGATACTTAGCGCTTAAAACCTACCACTACTTAACCACTAGGTTGTGGGTTCGATCCCCACATGGTACAACACTTTATGTGCTCCACAAATTGTTGTTCTGAGTCTGGGTGTACTTTGTGTCCCTTTCATGTATGTTTGTAAAGTCTTCCGTGACACAGGATATATGCCTAATGCGGGAGTTGTCTTTTACATAAGAGAGAGAGAGAAGAGACAGTTACTACTATACATAAATACAACTACTGTTTGAATAGACAGTGTAGATGGAACATTAGGTTCAACTTACCCGCTGAATAAGCTGAGATCCAAACCAACATGGAACCATTATTTGAAAAATCATGACAACAATATACAGGGATAGAAATACCAAAAATTGAAACGTTGCTGGCTAAAATATAATAAACATACAGAAGATTAAGTATCCTGTAAAATAAAAATGCTATAGAATCCATATCATTTGTCGTGTATCAAATTTCAGTCACCAAAGTAAATCGAAACAGGCAGACACATATCTTGAGGGAACCCGTGCTAAACTGTACAAATAACGTCTCACTAAATGCGTCTTGAACTAGTTTACAAAACCTTAAAAAAATGATAATTTATTAGATAATATTAAACAGGAAATATTAGCAATAAATAAAACTTTTGGAAAACTTGTATATTCTTACTTGCATACTTCATCGTAATGCTTGATACACTTATTAATTTTCTGAACAGCATACCTGTCAGCTGTAGACTTATTATGTATTTGAACTTCATCAGTACGTTGATGAATATCAGCAACTCTTTTCAACTTTTTATCCAGTATTTCCAACTGTGCTATAGCAAGAAATAATATCCCCAGAAAAAAAGTATCAACATTTACATTGTACAACATGTGAGAAGTCATACCAATACATTGATATACGTATGCTGGATACAAGAAAATCGGTTTATATTTTATCGGTATGAAGGAATATCTGCAAATAGGAAACTCTAATTCAACTGGAAACATTAAATGCATTATTAAAGGGGTAAAAAGATTAACTCCATTAGCAATAAAAGATATTCCAGCTGTAATCTTCCAGTACAATAAAGTATCCTGCTTAGCTTTTTCAATAATCTTCGCTTCTTCCTGAGTATTTGATTGGAATATTTCACTCTCCAGCATGTCAAGAATTTTCCTAATTTTGTCGCGCATAAAAAGAAATGCCAGTACTTTCGACACAACCGCTATATCCATGAAATAAAATATCATTTCTTCGGCAAAAATTTCCAATTGTTGAGGCAAAAAATAAAAATTGATGGTGTACAGTGTAATAAATATAAAAACGAAGACGAAAACGTACAATTTGGAGTAATAAACATAAAATTTACTGGGATTGTCAGAGGGCCAAATGGCTAAAATTCTTAGAATCGTCAGATGTACGTTAAAACAACCTATTTGATGGTATCCCATTGATAAATTTAAATTGTAATGCACTAGGACGAGAATGCTTTTGTACTACTTTCTATCTATTATTGACTGGACTCCATATATTGAATACTTCAAAGACAAACGCTGTCTTGTAATTAGACTGATATATTCACCTACGAAAATTGAGATAATGAATAAGGAAGGATGATTAAAATGCACTACATGTTCCACAGCCACTAGAAATGTCTAATTTTACTGTAATTTTGTTCAAAGTAAATTAACAGCGTCTGAACTAATTCGCAGGTACATTTCAAAGACTATTTAAATATTTACGTACATTTAGAATACACGAAAGCTCTAACGAATGTAGGTTAATTACACGTTAAGTAGTTTTTTTAAATGAGACGCAATTAGTGTAGGTAGTTGAGGATCGTTGAAACACAAAATTATCCAGGAAACCATACTTTAGCGAGTATTAACAAGCTGTGGTGCCTTATTTTTTCAATGATGATTTAAATAATTAGATTATAAATAAATAGAAACTACAGTAGTAGATTCGCTTGATGTACACCGTCAAGTAGGGTATAAAATGTCATCTACGGTTATGTCATATAATTCACAATGTTTTTGTTAAATATAAAAATTTAAATTTTACAGTACCTATTTGATTCCTCTCCAAGGTTAGCTTACCTGAATCTATCCTGCTGATGAATTTGCTACAAACCTTCCGCCTGCATTAAAGTGGTAGAAAGCTTCATCTTCAGGAAGGCTATGTTTATGTTTTTACTTATAATACTAACTTCCTTGTGTCGTTTTCCTCAATTCTAAGGGCCGTGACCCCTATTTGCCATAGCCATTCTACGAGCGATAGCTCGCTATCCGTTACTGTCTTTGTATAGGACAGTATAGACGAAGTGCCTAGAGTAGAGCAAACTCGGTCTCCAACCAACTAGAAACCATCCAGCTGCAGTCGTTAAGTTACTTTGACTGAGGTGCTGATAACAAGCCTGAAGAAATATACCATATAACAGGTATAGCAGTTGCTTCAGATACTAGAAGTACACACTAACATAATTTCTATCACCTTCACAAAGACTTCATTGAAACACAAGTCAGTGTGGATTATTCTTCAAAAGAAAATCAAACTTAATTAAAATTAATTTCTTTTTTTTAACTTTATTTTAACGTCATCAGACTTACTTGTGTCATACATAAAGGTCAACCTGACATTGTACCTGTTTTGTAATTCTACTTACCTAATGTTTATAACTCTGTATGTTTTTAAATTTTAGAACTAAGTTGTCGTTGCTTTAGATTGTCATATTGTAGTAACCTGATTCAAGGAGAAAGTCGTAGGAGAGCCTTTTATGGAGATACCACGGCTTCTAAGCCATTCCCCCTCCTCTGATTCTGAGGGTGAGACTCAAAGGGTGACAACACATTTGTGACTTATCACCTATAAGTCGGGTACACATGGGCGGCGGAAGTCATTTACCATCATTAGACTCTGCTCGTTTGTCCTCCCATTCTGAATATTGGTGCTAATTCTGTTGTGGACACAACTAAACTAAAATTTCTTTAAAATTCTCTTATTTTAGTGAAGCGATTTCCAAAATTATATTATCTTGTCAAGTCGAACTAAATTTAGTGTTCATTATAACAGCATTAAATTTGAATATGACATCACTAAAAGTTAAAAGAAAAGTGTTACCGTTGTTTAAAATTAGGAATGAATGATACAGAGTGAATTTAAAAATATCTTTTGAAATTATATTATTAGGATTGTGAAATTCCTGTAAATGATCGTTAATGCTTGTAATGGAATAGTAAACAAAATGTTGTATTTCTCAGTTATAGTAAGTAATTAATAGTAAGGAAATACAGTTTTACTCAGTTCACATACCTGGCAAAACTTTTTCGTTATCTATGTAAATAAACTAAATATCTCTGATTCTATGCAAGTAAATTTGGCATGATAAAATTGGTATTTTATAACAAAATAATTAACAAACAAAAACATCAATCCAACACGAAATAAATACATAAGCTAGAGCATAAATAATTAACTAACTACCAAAAGGCGGTGCTTTAGGAGGACTCGCAATCTTTTCTACCTAGTAATAATTTTCAAGACGGTTTTTTAAAGCGAATTATCTTTTAATATGTGAGTTATTAATATGGGCTTCATTAATTAATTACTTTTAAATGAACACTACATCGATATTATTTACTTAGTTTTCTAACAGATGGCGTAAGCAGTAAGAGTCCAGTTGAAAAATATTAATATTTAGTTTTATAATTTTCGACAGAAGGTGGTTATACCTGCAATTAAATTCTTATAATTGTTAGATCTTTTATTTTTATAAATTTTTAAGGTTTTTTTTTCCTGGTAGCAGCTTGGTAACTGCCTTGAGAAAAAATTGGAATGTGGGTAAAATCTAAAAAATAGATACAATATGATGAGTAATTTCCCTAAGCTAAGCTCCGGACCTAGGCTAGAGAGCCTAAAAAGTTTCTGAAAGTTCTCCTCTGCCTTCTCAAACGGATTGGAGTTGTCTTGTATTTCAAAGCGTTTTCTTTAGTTTCTAAAAATAATACGTAGGTATGTCTTAAAAATCCAGATAAGATACACGATATAATTGTGATTTAAGATGAAAAATATGATGTCTATACCTTTCCGCTAAACTGACCAGGCAAAACATGTTATCGCTATTCATCATAAAAAAATAATTCCACGCAATTTAAAGAATTTGTACTTAAACAGTATAATGAACAAATTAGTCGGCATGTACTGAGATAACGTCTAATTTAAGTCTGACGTTTCTAATTTTAGTTTTGTTTCTAATTTGTTGATTAAAAAGTACAACAGAATAAGAAATGACCAATTATGGACTAAATTAAGTACCCTAACTAATTTAAGAACAAAACAGTAATTGTGAAATATGATATTTAGATGCAAAAAAAAGATTACAAACGTAAGCAAGTCAAGATGTTGAGTAAGAAAGACTACACACAGTTTTTCTGTTTATCAGTGCTAATGATGAAAAATGCAGACGTGGCAATATTCGTGTTATCTATTTTGTTTAATTTTGTTAGTGTACACACAAAAAATGGAATTGAATAAAAAAAATATTTGTAAAATTGGATGAAATTATACACAATTAATTTGTCCCAAGACTAAATCAATCTTTCCTTTGCTAGGGGTAAAAAGGGGAGCCAAAACAACTGTCGTGTATCCAAATGTGTATAATTAAAACATAACAGCGAAATTTCCATTGGGTCACGGAATAATGACTAGCTACTTAAAAATTCAAATAATATAATCTATTCTACGTTCCAATTACTGTTGAAATTTAGCCGGCAACGTGAATTAATATTTAAAATGTCCAATCATTAAGGTTGGATGAAAGTATACAGGTATTTCAACATCTTAAGGATTGTAATCCATTTTATTATTGTGTAGTTTAATTCTGAACGGATAGCTATCTACTACCGGTGAACTACAAAATTGCTCTAACAATCAGATAAAATCAAAGACAAAACAGCTCTATCTACTTCACATAAAAAAATGCGTAAGTAAACCTCATATGTGATATACGAGTTTATGATGAAGATGCATATTAGATGAGACATTCAGAAAAAAACAAAAAATAATAATCTTGTTCTTAGTAACAAAAACAATTAATACGTAAAAACGCCTCTTTTGAGCAAGCTCACTATTAAATATTTACCAAGGCTTTAATAAGATGAATTTATACAACCAAATACGAGTAATAGCCCGCCAATAGTTGTTTAATTTTAATCTGTTGTGTCCAAATTAATTTTGTTTCCTTAAATTATTACACGCCAATAAATAAATACGATGACATTAAGGAGCATTAGTACAGTAAAAGGTCCTATCGCAGTCTGTAATCTGTTCCAAAATATCCTATTTGGCAAAAGATAATATGTATTTGTAGAATACAGTTGTCTTTTCATAATATTTTATTAAAAAACTAATACTAACTTATCTTTTATTGCCTTAAATAACGGTTTGTTAACATCTAGCTACATATTAATGTGATAGAAGATTTAACAGTGAATGAATATAACGGCGACTTTTTCCTAACAGAGCCATTTATTAGGGGTTTATTATATTTGGTCGGAGGTTGTTATTGTATTAGGAGGGCAAAAGGAAAGCGGATGCTTTATTTGCGAATATTGAACCACAATCTCGTTACACTGTGTACTGTATTGATTGGAAATGAAATTGATGTTTGGATTATTTACTATTAGGACATATAACATTGCAAGACTAACTTGTTTAAACATGTTATTGACCATCAACTGTTAATATACCTACTTTACACTTCACCATTGATACACTCTATTATCTCATGATTATTATCAAAATAAATGATGATTATCAAAGAATCTGTTTATTTTTCATCATCGCATTCGCATTGAAAATTAATCCTGAGCTTTCAAATAGTTTATACACACTCAGCACTGGGATGGTAAAACGTGTGTTGACAAGGTTATATATGGAAAAGAAAGGGCTAATTTGATGGACAAATTTTAACTTGAATAACTCATAAATTAATTTGACAGTAACACTATGAAATATAAATGACTATCATAAACATTGTTCATACTTCAGAGCACCCTTTCACCGTAACAAAACAATAGCGCCTTATAGAAGGTAAAGAGCTTTCGGGAGCGAGGGTACGTATGAACGCGCGTAACGAACCCTTCGAGGCATACTATATCTGCTGAATAAAAATAGCACACAGTACACAATCAGTTGATGCTACCTGTATACATTTGTCTTGGGGCGATCTGTTTTGTTTTGAATTTGCCAGATGATATGGAAAGCCTCATTAGATTTTTTAGTGTAATATGACTTCGGTAAGACGTTATGGAGGATAAGGAGGCAACATGGAACCCTCTCATACTGACTAACACAGGTGGTCACCGGGAAAGGATGCTTCGGCGATCGCCAGTGTTTGATCCGCAAGAAGCCAACGGCTGAGTGCCACCACTGCGATGGCCAAACCGTGGACATGGCGCTCCACACGCTGGCAGAATACTCAGCGTGGGTGGAGCAGAGGCGTGACCTCGTGGTGGCCATTGAGTGGGAATTCTCTCGTTTGGTACCATGATTGCGGCTATTTTACGGAACTCCGCCGCCTCCTTCTGCAAGCAAGTTATGCTTGCGAAGGAGACAACGAAGTGAGTCCGGGAGGGTGGTCTGGGCTTAGAACTCCTGGTCCGCCAAGCCTGGGAACAGGCCAGGTACCGCAGACAACTCAGGCTAAGCACAGGCCTGGGGGTGACAGTTGTAGCCATCTGTCACCCTAACAGAATCAGGCCGGGGTGGCATCGCGAGCAAGGGAACATGGGGGTTCTCACACAAGAGGGGGTCATCTATTAGGCGTAGTTGGCACGAGGTACGTCGGGATACCAGGAATTTCCTTTCTATGGGACAAAAGTCCCCGGCTACTAATACTTGAAACGGCGTACGTTTTTAGTCGGTTCGAGTCCTTAGAGCAACTACCACTGGCCTGTGTTGCTCTATGGTTCGAATCCATATATAACCACCGCGGTGGTAAACGAGGGTTTTCCGCACAGAAAAGACTAAACTTTTACAGTAATCTATTGTTTTGTATTATCAAGTAAAACAATAATTGCACGACGATAAATGAGCAATGTGAAAATCTAGCTATCATTTAAAATACTATTTACAACAATTCGTGTTTATGATGTCATCTCTAGGTTAACGTTAGACTATTCCTGTTGGTGTTCCTGTTTATACCAAAAGGCGGTTCTGATTTCTGAAGCCATTTAAGTTTCCTTCCAGGAACCTGTTTCCGTAGCACGCACGCTCTGTAATGACCAAGCTCATTAAGACTAACTGAAGTATCCTTGTCTAGCCTGTGTAATATACATACCTACAATGTAACTAAAGTTTATCTCCGTTGTTTTAATTTTAAAGCATAATATGTGTGTGTAAATTTTGTAATGATGCAAGAATATTGCACAAGGTTCCTTAATTAAAAACATAAGGAGTTTTCTGACATCCTAGATAAAATGAGTACATAGGTATATACCTTATCGTTTTTGCTTGATCTTTATAGTGATTCTATTTATTAAACAGGCAAGAGAACAGGCATCGTTAGTATGTATGCATATCGCATATGTAATGAGTCCAAATCTTATTTTGAGCTGAAATTATATATTGTATTTGAGTAACAGAAAAAAATTAATTAAGCTGTTAATAATGATGCTCGCATTATATAATTCCTTTATTATTTACATATTTGTGAATCAAGAAGTAACTTTCTAGAAGTACCAGCGTTTTCTTGAAACTTTTTCATGGTACACATAATAAGTTATTTGAAATACATTTTCTCATGCAGCGTATGCTACAGCGTGTAATGAGCCGAGTCATTAGCACTACGTCTCGGTGACAATGCGCCAACTCTGCATGATAACTATGTAAATACACCAACTTTACACATTGTTTTCAGCCTATTGTGTCTTTTATGGGCATACGAATATTGTACTTCTAACAGCCAATGCGTTTGCATGTAAGTCAAAAAATGTGCAAAACATTAAATTAAAAAAGAGAGCAAATATACTCCCCCTATAGCATATAATGTTATAGGTGGACAAAAGAGCAGGCGGGTCACCTGATGGTAAGAAACTATAGATGGGACAAAATCACAGTGAACTATGAATGACCGGTGATTTATCATTCGATTTTGTCCTACGTAGGTTAGGGTTTTCACTTACTCACGCGATGTTGCCAATAAGCTGTTTTCAGACGATGCATAAAGACCCTATTGCGTCTATTTAACAGTAAATCTAGTAATTGTTATATTATATATATAGCTACCATTCCCTACATAATAATTTAAAAAATACTATATTTACTGTTAAATAGCGTCTAATTTACCTACCTAGCAACCATAACCTTCGTGCGCATAAATCTAATGATAAATCACAGTTCACTGCGATTTTGTACCATGTCCATAAGAAACTACCATCGCACGTGAACACCTTCAACTGAAGAGTCACTTATTGCCGCCCTTCGAGTCTCCGACAGAATCATGGGCTGGGAGCGCTGGTAGTAATGCAACCTATGTACCACTAAGGATTTCTACACCACCCAAAGTTTGACTAGAAGAACATGGCCTGGGCATTAAGTTGTACAAGAGAGCATAAAGTTGTGTAAGTAGGTATATATAAAAAAATATGTTCTTACAATAAGAGAGATATAAATTACTATATTTGCTTCAACGCTTTACTTTACACCTTCATCACCTTATATTTAATTGATGTTACAGTTTAAAGTTTCCCTACTAATTGACATTTGTTGCAGATGACACCGCCTATTAGGAATACGTGAAATCATATTCCGCGATCGTATGTCACTAATCGTTACTTAATTACAAATTTTCGACGTGTCAACGACACGAACAAAACTTATTTACAGTGCCTGGATGAAGTCATTAGGATCATGAAGTTTTGAATTAAATGAAATTAATATTTCAGATAAATTAATATAATTATGTATCACATATAAGTCACTTTTTTGTATTTTGCACATAGATCTGGTCTAAAATCACATTTACAATACATTTACAATAATTCTGTCAAATCATTTACTTCAACTGTTTGTTTGAAAAGAACATCACGTCTGTACTAGTTTCTAGCGAGCATCATATGTGAGTATTCCATAAATCCTAGAGTGCCGAATAATTTCCTGATCCGCTACGTACAAAATGAAAAGTATAAAATTTGAGTAGGTAGCTATCGTGTTATCTCCACAGCAAATCAATAAACCAGGAAATAACAAGTGTATTTCTTTTATTACTTGGACATACTAAACCTCTTTCTAAATGTAAATTTTTGGCAACTTATATAATATATATTTTTCATAGATTCCTAGTTCTTCTGAAGTCACATTGACTACGCATAAAGTTCTGGTGTAGAAGACGGTTTATTAAGGCTCACATGAAAACCATTTCCCCAGCTTTGAACTAAAGTAAACTGAGATAGGTTGATCCTCCTTCTGTCAAGCTAAGTCTACATAATGGCTACATGGTGCGCTTGTGATACTAAATTACTTACTATGAAACAATTCCTAAATATCCTTCGTAAATGTTAACCTGACTTTTCAGTTACAGATTACTTACTTCATATCAATTAAGGACCTACGATACTGTCCGATTGTGAAATCAACGTAGGTATGGCGTCAGAAGCATATTTCTATGTTATATTAATAACTCTTAACATTATGAACAACACGTAAAAATAACTATCTTAAAGATCGAAGAAAGACACTCAGTACCTACAACTGTTTACTGGTGTAAATAAAAAAAAACCAAAGGAAGTCGAGTGCAACGTGTAAAATGTTTATTAATTGTGAAAACGAATAACAATAACACAGGTTTTGGTATCTACTTCTAATATTAAATTCTAATTAATATCAGTGCGTTAATGTGTTAAGGCTAACAAAACAAGAATGTTTCTAGTGTTTAACTTAGTTTTCTTGAAAGTTTCTTATTAACGCAAATAACGAATATGCAGTCTTCATAATCTGTAGACAAATATAAATTAGATATAAAAAAGGGGGAAATAGCAACATTATTAGGCCTTTTGGTCTAGTAATGAAGGATCCTGGCTGCTGTCCAGAGTCGTGGGTTCGATTCCATCCAGAACGAATAATTGTATAATAAGCACGCTCATGTATTCTGTTTCTATGTGTAATTTATTTATAATGTGTATACATGTATTAATTATATACAAAAAGAAAACATTTGAACATTATAGATTAATTACACCCAGAAAAGTTAAGATTTCAAACCTACATTCATTTGGTATGTGTACATATAAGCTCTGCCTAGTTTGGAATCAGAGCACCTTGTGTGAGGTATCTCAACTTGTAATTATCAAAATGGTGAAATCAACTTGAAATGAAACTATTATATCTCTCAATGTTAAAAAGAACTACTTACTGAAGTGAAGGTGGTGAGCGATAGTGAGAACATTTTAAGGCCTGTTATCATGATGGGAGTTTTAGAACGTTCCATAAAAAGCCTCAGACTTCTCTTAAATGATTCTGACCGAGGAATCCATTCGCTATCGTATGCCGCAAATATGAGTTCTTGGCTCTAGAATTACATTTTAAAGTTACTTTACACTAATTCGATTTAATTTGTAACTTAACTTATGTAACAAAATTTACATTTCGTTTACAAACACAAACAAAAGTTTATATGAAGACAAAATGTGTATAATTTCTTACCTCATGAACCAACTGAGTCCCCAAATATCCCGGCATAAAAATTTGAGAAGTCACAACTAAAAAATACATTACTAAAAACACTAGTGTTTCAGTAGATGATGGCTGAAAGATATAACTTACGTTCAATAAGTTTGTAAATAGTTTTCATAGCAAACAGCAATAAATTTCATTAAAACTTTAGCATAGTATAAATATAGTATAAAAAATTATATAGTAAAAAAAAAAAAAAAAAAAAAAAAAAAAAAAAAAAAAAAAAAAAATATAGTGGTATAGTAGGGCTAAACCCCCTTTCTAAGGAGAAGCATTTGTCCAGCAGTGGACTATTAAAGGCTGTTGATGATGATGTTGATGATTAGTATCTAGCCACTTTTTACATTAACAGCGCTGTTAATGTTCTTGCTGCGATTAAAAAGATCACCAAAATTAGATATTCATGAGAAAAAGATCATAGTTCAAATATTGGCTCCACTCAACTGTCTATAGTTGTAAATTATCTTCCTTTCTAAAAATTAAAGAGGGATGGTACATATTAAACTAAGTAGGGCCAATTAAATAATAATAATTATAAGCTAACAATTTGTTGTTATAACTACAGTCGTATCTTTGATGGCGGTATTTCTTTATGGAAATAAACTAAATAAATGAACACGCTTCTGTAACCAGACTAACTAAAACGTGCGAAATAATTTTCTGTAACTTAAAAAAGAGAAATCATTTTAGTTACAAAAGCGTGTTTTTTAGTTTTTTATTTATTTTTGATTTTTTAATTATTAAAGATAATTATTTTCTCATGAAAACTAAAAAGTAACAAGTAAGTAAGTCGAATTTGCTTCAACACGCCTCCCAGTGCGTAGTAAAAGTCGTTAATCCTGTAGATCCTGATCAGGATAATCAGCCAAATTTATCAAATTATTGTATTGTCATCGATCCTTGAGAAGTGTGCGAAGTTTCAATTCATTTCGATGTTATGAAGTAGGTTAAAATCACGTTCGAAGATTCCATTACATACATACATACCAAGCTAATAAGAGCGTGTTAAAATATACTTACCAAAAGCAATCCGCACATGACCACACATATTATAATGGATGCAACGCCTAGTTGGACAAACATTGTGATACTCAAAAGTTCTTGAATGATCTTATGATATCTAAGTAAAATACAAGAAAATAATAATTTTAAATACCTTCAAACTAAAACCAATCAGCTAAAAATATAATAAAATAACTTACTTCAAAATAGCATCGTAGTGCCTGAAACAACTAACAAGCCTTGTGTCCAAAATTATTTCTTGTAGTTGTTTTGATAGCTTAATTTCTTCTTTAGATAATTTCAAATTTCTTATTTTCACATTTAGTAGTTTTAATTGAGCTATAGCTATAACCAAAAGGCCCGCAATAAACGAATCTGTACTGACATTGTAAATCATATGCCCGTACATGCCAAACGATTGATATATAAACCAAAACAGGTAATAAGACCGACGATTTTCATCGCTTAAGAAATAATATTTGCATATTGGTAATTCTGACTCGGTTGCACGTACCAGATTTAAAAATATCGGAACAAATACTTGACTTGAATACGCAATGTTCGAGAAACAGATATATACCTTAAAACATAATTTATAGGTCTTATGAACTTTGTACAACAGACCGTCTCTGTTTTCATAGTCACCCATAAATTCATCGCTATCAATTACATCTAATGCTTCTATAATTTTATTGCGCATTAAAAGGATCGTAAGAATTTTAGAAGCGACGGATAATTCAGTAAAATAAAATATAACCTCGCGGATCATCAGTTCAATTTTTCGAGGCGTGTAAATTAAGTTTAAGGTTAATAGAACATTATAACACAAGAAGGTAAGCAGCAGATAGAAAATAGAAAAGTATTTATAATATTTTGATGGGTTCCTTCCTCCCCATATTCCAAAAACCATCCAACATTTATAATTGTTTTCAAACATCTTCGACTGATCAGACGGCATGATCAAGGCGTAAGGAAATACGAATTTAATTTAACACAGCTTATCGTCTAATATATACACAGCAAATAATTTTTCTTCAGTTGAAGAAAAAAGAATCGTGCTACGGAGATGTATCATTATGTATTTTACACCTATTATAACGCCCTGCCTATTACTCAATTCTATTCTATCATGCATGAAGTAATAACTAGCTACGTTTTACGTAAGTACATATACACAGCAATGGCTATATAATATTATTAAGAACCGTATACAATACTATTTCATTATTCATAGATACAATTTTTATCGAGATCATACATATTTTTTCCCCTTGAAGTAGAGACAAAATTAATATTTTCTATTTAACGTCAGTAAAATTCGTATTAATTAAACAAACCAACTAAAATAGAAATCTCTCTTCCCGAGACAATTCTAAGGAGAAGTTAAAATTGAGAGGTCACAATAAAGTAGTAGTTCGTAATTCAATGTTATATCCTGGATTGTGAAAGAGAAGTAGATTAAAACAATGGACGTGTTCGCAATTTGGAAGCGGTGCAACCCTTCGGGTGCGTTTTAATTGCAGGGGTTGTTCGGTGGGGACTATTCGTTGGTACGAAAATCTTCAGCGCTTAATTCCTAAGAGCATCAGATGCCGCGCACGGTTCATTTAATGCATACTGATATTATAACTTTTGATAGGCTCTTAGACTTGATGGATATCAATTCCACCACAGGGAATGTTCGTTTAATTTATTTGTAAAATAACATGAAGCAAGATGTGGTGATGCATACAGAAAAATACGTAGTAAGTTTAACATAAAGAAGTTTCCCAGGAGTTTTAGAGACAAGTTGTGTGAGGGGCACAACAGACTGTCTGTGTACTTTGTATTTTATGAGTGAGAGTCTTAAACATCTACTGCAGAAACAATGAGTTTTTTTACACACCAGGCATACTTTTTTTTATTATAGAGGGGGCAGACGAGCAGACAGGTCACCTGATGGAAAGTGACCACCGCCGCCCATGAACGTCTGCAACTCAGGAGTTACAAATGCGTTGCCGGCCTTTTAGGAAGGAGTACGCTCATTTCTTGAAGGTAAGAAGTTTGAAGGTCGTATCGGTGCGGAAATACCGCAGACGATAACCCGTTCCACCAATTAGTTTTGTGTACCAAATACTGAAGTAGAGCGCCAACTATCCAGGTGATGGGGTTGAAAATTTTTCCGTGTAGAACGTAAGCGGAAAGTTGCGTCCGGTATTAGTCCGAACAATTCCTCGGAGCACTCTCCATGATATTTGCGATAGAGAATGCAGAGTGAAGCCACATCTCTACGTAACGCCAAGGGATCGAGCCCATCGGAGATGATTGTGCTATCGACGATTCGAGTCACTCTTCGTTGGATGCGATCCAGAGGGAGAAGCTGTTAGTGAGGTGCCCTTGCATAGAGATGGGAACAGTATTCAATTTGCGGCCGGACCTGCGCCTTATAGAGCTGAAGGCGGTGGACCAGAGTGAAATACTGCCTCGAACTGTTCAGCACACCGAGCTTCTTAAAGGCCAATTTGACCTTACCCTCTAAGTGGCCCTAAAACTGGACTTTGCAATACACCATTACCATTTACAAACTTTATTTTTTATTATTGCTAAGTTTTATTCACGAAAAATAAAATCCCAAAGACAACGACAAATCTATTCCTTTTCTATCAGAATAAGCTCTTAATTCGTAATTCTCGTTCTTTAAATAAATCTATTAAGCGCATTTCAACCAAATTTTACAAATAAATGAGTTACTGGAAACGCGATGATTCATTTTTATTATATTTTTTCTGGCTGTACCTCATTTGGCACAATAGAAGCTACATTACAATAGGCGTTGTTATTAGCTGTCATTTAAGGCAATTACTCACGCCTATACTGTATTACTTACACATATACACATATATGGTATCATAGTCGTTTTAAACATAAACAGATACTAATAACACCCAATGGCTTTCAAGAAAATGAAGTTGATTTCAATTTCATTACTCCGCTTTATTCGCACCGCTTCTAAGATTCATTTGCTCGTTCTGCAATAACAATAAAAGGAAACGCGGTCTTTCTGCAAATATACTCGAAGGCTTCTACCGCGGCCTCTCTTTAATTACACAACAGTAAATATACCGCTCAAAAATTAGCTTACTCTGAGCTAACAGGGTAGAAACTGCGTCTTCATTTATCTGCCTTAGCTGCGATAATTTTAAATAAACAAACACATTATGGATGAAGGAATTATTACTCATAACTCAAATAAAAACAACTCAAAATAACTTTCTTCCTTTCTTTCATTCTAAACAACTTAGATTTGCCAATTGCAGGATATAAAACTGATTACTTATTTATAGGCATTTAATAAAAGAGTCAATGACAATATTCTAGGTCATATTACTCAGTGTTGTCTACTGCTAACTTATAATGAAGGAAATCATTTAAATTTATTATACATATGTGTCAATATAATAATAATAATCTTACAAGAACCGTTCAACAAGAGATCTAAAGATGCTATAACTAACACTTTAAAAAGTATTCTTGCTTATTTAGTTTGTCATTGTCTATGCAAAGCAGCGGACGACGTATCGGTCCTTTGTGGTGCACGTATCGGTCCAAGTTTATTCTGGCTATTCAGAAACTTCTGTTGTTCGTATATATATACATTTATGTTTGAAAAATACTTTATTTATCTATTCACTATTTCATTGAAAAATATTCAATTGTTTCTAGTATTAGGTTAAGAGTTCAAGAACAAACATTTTCTAATACTAGAAACCTTTAATCTCGTAAATATTTTCTCACTAAGAATAAAATATGAATATATTATATTATGTTTTATTGCTTCAATAAAACTGAATATAAATCAATTTCCTTTTTATACATTAAATGGCTTTTATTTGATCGTACCTTTAAACACATAATTATTAAAAAAAGCCTACAACGAAAAATTTTGCGAACTATCGTTCCAGCAAAAATTAAAGAGCAACCTATGACGATGACAGCGGTCTTTTCAAATACTGACAAATCATCGC